TACAAAATGTATTTAAACATGGTTTAAAAGCATTAGGCTTTAAGTCTTACTTTCTTTACGTCCTACATCTAAGATTCTTTGGTAAAGGTATGTCAAAGTTATCAGAGGAGATGGAATAACTTTGGACCGGATATAATGATAACAAGACGAGAGACCTTGGAACAGGCAAAGATCAGAAGACCAGAGATGACTGTCCTTGTCTCTTGGGCTCCCCTCTGTCCTCCAATAACATCCCTCAGTCATCACGTCAACCTCAGTAACAGTTCACTGTGTGGATGTGGTCCTCGCCTGCCGCGAACCCCGGTGAAAGCTAATTAAGAAATATCGCAGCCTTCTGCGAACTCAATTAAATAATGTTAATTTATTCTAATTTCAATTTGGAGGTAGTCTGAACTGAAGGAGGGGCTGTGAAAACAAAGTCTGGGAGAGGAAGGAGAGCTCTGGCCTCTGCCTCCCCCTGGCACAGGAGCTCTCACAACCTGCAAAAACTCTATTTAATTTGAACCCTTTGATTAACATAAGTAATCACACAAGCCCTTCAACTGAAGGGGAGAAAGAAAACATACCTCTAGTGTTGGTTCACTTTCTCACCTCCAGAAAGAATGAGTGTGTGTAAAAAATAGGAAAATAGAGGGAAAAGTGGTACCAACATCATGTTAGATTATGATTAAGACTATTTTTTTTAAAACCCTTTTGATTACAGTTGGTGTTATGAGACACACATGGAATAGAATAAATGATATTAGCAAAGGGTACAGTTAAGTAATACCCAAAAGGTTGCAAAAAACATGGGACAGGATTCCTAACTATGTAATACAGTCTTCAAACCCAAAGTATATTTAGCTATTTTGTAGTAATCTCTATTTTATAAAGCAACCAACAGCTCTAGGATATACATGTATTGTCCCATTAAGTGCCAACAACTTAAAGTTGAAGATGCCTAACTCTTTCTAAGATTCTTTGAGTAAATATTAAGATAATATAGAACTTTTTTGTACAAACTTTTCCCCAGACATTTGCCCGCTCCCAACTTTTCTTTATATGAAAATAAGGCAAATAATTCATCAAGCGGAAACTTGATAAAAATCCAAAGATCAGAGCATCTAAGTGTAGAGCGGTCTGACTGTGGAATAGAGATGGAGATGAAACAAAAGGAGGAGCAGGGATCACTGAATTACTGGGAGGGGTAAAATCAGCCCCAGGGAAAAGAGATGGACTGAATCAGACCAGACAGAGCTCACAACCCGCCCAACAGGAACTCCCTCTGTTCATTTACATTAATCCCACAGACGTTTCCATCCTTCCAGCTCCTTCACAAATGCTAAACTTAAACTTGACGCCTTTGAGGATCTATATCTCCCAGACAGGACAATGGACAGATACATTGGCATGAGAGACATGAAACTTCTTAAAAGAGACTCAAGTGCCACTTTCACTAACCTGAACACAGATTTCAGTTACTAACAAAAACTCTAAATAGTTGATGTACTGCATGTATATTCAAAGATGAAAGTGGCATTTTTAAATGCTCAACCAAAGTGACCCAGAGCAGGCACTTAACCTTCACTTCCTTTGGTCGAGCTGCTAACTGGTCAGTTGTTACATGCTGCAGTTGTACTGAGCCAAAAGTCCTAATTTAAGCCAGACACTGCTGTGTGAAACATCAGAATATGAGCTCACACTGGGACTGTCCATCTAGTACTGTCAGATGAAGGCCAACAAGAAGAGAAGAAACTGGTACACTATGGCAAGGATTGCATTCATTGTATGTGGTCTACAATATCTGCTGGGTTTTGTAAGAACCTACAGTCTGCTAGGCCTCATAGAGAAGAAAACTGTTGGAACCTCTATAGATGCTGCAGGTTACATATCTAAATTTACATCTCTGTCCACTGACTCTGCATGCTAAATGTAAATTTGCTAAGCATTGCTTTCACAGGTCCCCATGGATGGTCTGAAGATAGAAAACGCCCAGTAACTGGTAACACACGTTTCAATAAATGCATTTGAGTTTTTCAGTATTGCCATCTTAGCCTGTCCATAAATTACTTGTGCTAAACATATGTTCCACTGGCAAAAATCCAGAGCTTTCAGCTCTTGTTAGAGCTTAATGTAAATCCAATCCATATGTGTAATACCTGTGTATAGAGTAAGTGGGTGCACACCATATGTCCTGTAGATGTCCCGATTTTTCACAGGCTGGTACTGAAGTGGGTGGTTTTAATGCAATAACAAGGAGGATAAAACTACACCTAAGACAAAGTTTAAAGGTAAATCTCCACAAGTGAATGAATACATGACAAGGACAAGAGAGTTTATAACACTATTCATTTTCAGTGTATAACAAATAGGTATTTTAGTGGTTCCTAAGTCCTAATGTCTCAAGCTTACTCTCATCTTGAGAGAAAAATCTTAACATCTTTCTTGCTTTGGCTATTCTTTTCCATTCTTATATTTTAAATATCAGTCCATGATCACAGGAATATTGTGTGAGCACTCTCTGACCCTTAAGCTCCTAACTATTTGTTGGGTGTAACTGTAGTGATCAAGCAGTTAAAGCTTGTTTAACCGCTGCACTTGTGTTACCTGAACACGCACTGAATAAGTGTGTAAAATGTAAACGGGACACAAGGCATGCTAATCTCTTTTGGTTAGCAAAGACGAGATTTCGTTTAAGAAAAAGCATATGAGACATTTCATACCCTTCAGGGCAGGTTGTAAATGAATAACTGAATATAGTGTCTTTCAATATATCAATTTCTATTCACATTCTGAGATTAGACCTAGTTTTATGCATGTATGTTTATCTTGGTCCTACCACACCAATTGCCCACATGAATAGCTGGTAGAAATAAAAATAAATGGAGAATACACACCTTGAGACGTCTTATATGGGAAAGGTCGAGGTTAGCTGTGTTTTGGGGGAAACTGCCCGAGCACCTACTTATTGAGCACTGAGCCTAAGGCATACTAGAAACTATAAGAACAGATACATACATGCATGCGAGCACAAGCACACATCTGTACTCTGTACACGTTCATAGTGTGATGATGTGTTGGTTTCGTCTTGGCCTCTCATAGTGGGAATGTCTCTGCTTAATCCGCTCTGACTTCATACATTCAAAGGTCATCTCACAGCCTACACATGGCTGAGGCGCACACCCGCGTGTGTCATACTGCTTGGTGTGAATAAGAAAGAATCCTATTCACACTAGCTGTATATGTCAACAAACCCTGTAGGCCTATCCTTGTTTACTGTGAACATACTATCTCTCTTTCTACTATTCCCTGGCCATCTTCCTTCTCTTCCCCCCACTGTTCTCCACTCCTCTACCCCTCTGCTATCTTCCACCTATTCTCCTTCATTGCACCCCCCTACTCTTCAGTCCTCACCCACAATTCATTCTTTGCATCCCTCCCTCCCTCCCTCCGTCCCAAGCTCCAGAGGCAGGGGCATCTCTTGGCGAAGTGTGGCCCACCACAGGCCACTGGCTTTGGGTAATTAAAGTGGTTTAGGCCCCCTCACCCACGGTCACAGGCAACTGCAGCTGGGTGATAAAGGCACTGTGCCATAATTACATGGACGGCCAGCATCACCGCCCAGCTACACTAAAACAGTCAGCTAGCCAGCTGCATGGGGAGGAGGGACCTGTGTGTGTCTGTGTGTGTGTGTGTGTGTGTAAGTAACTGTATAGACTGTGTTTGCATGTGTGTGTGTGTGTGTGTGCACAGGGGGTCAACACCCCCTTGTGATCGCTCTGCTGTAGTTAAGCCCCCTGTGTTTAAGCCCCACATAGGCTCATTGAAACCCCCACACGTGCACACACACACACTTTTTTAACCACCAGCCATCCCCACGCCCCCAGCCAATCATTCCCCACCAGTGGTCTGACTCCTGCCGTGAGTGTGTGTGACCATCAGCCATTTAATTAGACCCAGCCATGATTTACCTAATTTAAATAAATAAATAAACATACGAAAACACCCCAATAAACAAATACCTATATTCAAATGAGGAGCTGGGGAGTTTCATGAGCATAAAGAATGGGGCAGAAGATGGGATTGTGCAGGCGGAAAAAAAGCTAATGTAAGGACCACTGGATGTGGACACACAAGCACGAACACACACACACACACACACACACAAACACACAAAATGTTTCAAGTCACTCACTTATAATAACACATGCTACAAAGAATGAGTCAACATGAAGAATAGTAAGTCGACTGCTACCTACAGCTGTGGAATTCTGGGATTTTAGGGCTCAGTTTGTGTTAAAGATTTACTGTTGTGTTGCTATCCAATTGAAATTACATTAGATTTGTTGTATTTGGTAAACTACTTTTAAAGTTTGGTCATCTAACAAACATTCATGAAATCAAACCCAAAAATTACAAATCCTTTATTGTATGTCTATGTGATAGTGAATTCACTAAGAAGCAGTGTTCATATTACATAGTGGATTTTAAGAGGATCTTTTTTATCCCCCTATAATCTAGATACTGCTAAGCAGCAACATGTTACATTCAAATTATTTCTGATATGCACAATTCATTACATTGAATGGATTAAACTCATTACTCAACTATCTATCAAAAACAACTCCTCTATTTAGGGCTGGATATCAAACCTGAATACTTTTTTGGTACCAGCAAACATAGCGTCGAGTAAAGATAAACGGTCAACTGCCGAAACATGCATCAGATGCAGTCTCATATCTGACTGTGTCTGATATAAATCATAATGTTGACAAATTTATACCGTTTTATTTCTGCAAAGTCCTTGTACAGCTGTTTGTGTTCAGGCAACATTTGGCATTTGCCTTTTGCTTTAATGAGGTTGTTTTCAATACTTGCTTAGGGAAAACAAGTTAAAAAGTCCCAACCCACTACGCATTAAGCACCAGCCTGCAACCCACTGCTGAGACTAGTAGACTGTTGTATCGTGCGTCTGCGTGCCTGCTGTGGGGATTTATTACATTCAAGTGAATCCTGGTTACCTTGGGGGAAGAGGAGGCCAGCTCTCTCCCCATTACTGCTGCGACTGGGCTGGGCCCGACTGGCTGGGCTCTCTCCCTTTCTGGGCCAGAGCTGGGAGCTGGCGGACTGGGGCCGAGGCCAGGGCTGGAACTTGGTGGTGGGGGAGCCCTCCTCTTCTGGCTGCTGCTCACATCCAGGGAGGGGCCACCAGCAGGGGGCTGCGTAGGGCTTGATGTCCTTGGCTCGTAGAACGGGTTGGATCTGAGAATGGAGGGAAAGGACAGGTGACAAACGAGAGCAAGACAAAAAGATGTCATGTTAGAAAGTGCATGGATCTTTCACAGACTGCAATTTTTCTTTTAAATGGAAGTTATAGTAATGTGTACACATAGAGCAATGTGAAATTATTCAGATTTATATGACCTTTTGCATCAAAAACCAACAGTGTCGCCAAAGCAAAATGTTCAGCATTGCAGGAAATAAACTGTCAAGCAGACCTCTACAAAAAAAAATACGTAAGAAAGCATCAATAAATACACACATAAACACAAAATTAGGCACACAAGAAACGTTGTAGATCCCGTTTTTGGTTAAATGCCTTTGTGCCAAACGTTAAAAGTTATTAAGATTATTAGCCCTATTTAAACCCATCTTTGGCTTACACTGCCCATTGTTTAGTTAAACATAAGGAAATTGCTACATGGAAATGAGAGTTTGGTGCAATACAATGAACAACACACACAAGTGGTAAGGTAATAGAAGATGCAGGTGCACTGAGGTCAGGTCTGCGTGACCTCATATCCTTGCTGCCCAAGGTGGCCTACTGACAGACGGACAGAGAGAAGCACGAAGGCATACACACATATGCAAGCATGCACTGAAACACACATACCAGAGTGTTATCAATATACAGGCATGCTTGTGGCACTGAAAGCAAGGGCGTGGCATTGAGATATTCACTCAACATCCAACAAGCTATTCTAAACAAACAAGAGAATTGGATAGAGAGGGTGGGGGGTGAGAGTGAAAAAGAAAAAAGCTGATTGACTAGGTATCTGTCTGAAAGGTTAGAGCTACTCGGTGTCCGTCTAACCACAGAGCGATACAGAGAGGGAAAAAAGGAAGGGAAGTGAAGAAAAGAAAAGCAGGCAGGCCTATAGAGCAGCTTTAACGGACCAGCACTGGCTAAAAGACATGTGAAAGGACTCCAGTCAAAACACTGCACTGCCCTCTTGAACTTTCTATTCTGCTCCTGGTGTAAGAGACAGAGCAAAAGAAACATGCCAGTCAATAACCTGTCTGTCTTTAGACAGCCGAGAGGACTAAAATATAGGGCTATCTGTGTGACAGCTTCGCTCAACACCAAGAACCTACAAGTTTGCATTTACAATAATGGCACGACCACTCGTCTGCAGAGGTCACACACAATCAGTGATACATTCTGCTATGCAGAGTACTACAGATTGGATGTTTGTTCCAGCTCTTTGTCACTGATTAAATGTTTTTATGAAAACTTGCTGAAGTGTTAATAGATGCATTCTCTTTTGATTTCTTTGCAGTGAAACCACACCTCCACCAAGTGAGTAACAAAAATATATTTTTATTATTTTTATTGACCGGTGCCACTGCCAGTTCTAATGAATTTAAATTCACACAGCTGTTGTGTTTTTTGGGATAGAAGTACATAAAGTAGGACACCTACTAATGTACTACTCAATGGTTTAAAGTGTTCTTATAAAGTACAGTAACTGGGGACTAAACTTAACTGGCCGAACTGACACACTGAAGTGATGTAAAATGAGAAAGGGAAAACAGGGAAAGAAGGAGGAGTAAATGAAGGAAGGCAGGATTAAATAGGAAAAAGGTTAAATAAAAATGGCCAGAGAAGAAGAAGTTAAGGAGGATGGCAAAGAGGGAAAGTATGGGGCAACAAGATGATACGGGGGAGGGAAGGAAGTAGAGAAGGAGGGAAAGGAGGGAGACAAGGTTAAAGAATGCAGGGAAACAACAGGGCCCTTGTTCCCGTTGAAAGAGCTGCCTAGTCACTCTGCCCTGATAGGGGGGCTACAAGTACCCCTCTATAAGGAGGGGTCTTACACAGCTTGGCCTGCCAACAGTTACCAAGCTGGGCAGTCTGGATCCTTCCAGTTTAGGAAAGTGTGTTAATATAAAGCCCTCTAGCAATCAATATAACATAGTCCTCCCTACTCAGACATACAAAAAGGTTTAATGCACTACAAAGAAAGGGGCTCCAGCTATCCATATATTGTACCAATGCCAGTGAAGGTGTAACTAATGCAAATTCAAGTGGAAAACCAGAACCAGACAAACCATGCAAGGTGCACACTCTTCCCTTACAGGCACACTGTCATCCAGACTTCATATTACTTCAAACAATACAATACAAACAACTGCCATCTGTAAATACTGCACGTCCAAAATGTCAGTCTATCAGTTACCTTAGACTAAATGTTATTTGCCAATGTCAGGCTTAATTATTATCTTATGTTATTTCACCATTTCCTGCGTCAGCTGATTGAAATATTAAAATTGAAGAAATGCAACATAATTAAGAAGTCTTACTCATCAAGCTCCTCATCCTCGTTGTGAGAGGTGTCGGCGTACAAGTACTTGCTCATATCAACAGGCCGCACTCCTTTCCTCTGCCTGGGCTTGGGGGGTTCTGGGTCTGGCTGGAGGTCCATGTCCTGCTCAGGCTCATCGAAGGGGTTCCCTGGGGGTGTTTGTGTCCCAGGTTCATCTGGCTCATTGAATGGATTTGAGGAGTCGTGGTCATAGAAGGAATCTTCATTAACCCGCTGCCTTAAGACCGACTGGGCAGGGGGCTCTGTTTGACAGAGAGGCATATACAACACATACTATAACTAGGCTTGTAAAACATAGTGACAGTGACTCAATAGCATCTTCTTTATTTGACAAGAGCTTTGGTAGCCTGTTACCAGACTGGGTTAGGGAGCTGGGCAGGAGATGGGAGTCAAAATAAATGTGACTGTAATCCTGGTAACTAGCTAAGCATTGTGGACGTACCAGCCTACTCGCATTCTGTCTTTTAACATACCTTACCCTACCATCAAGTTTGATGGGGCGAAGGGTAGCTCACCTGGTAGCTTAACATTCATGTGTTCCACAGGAACTCACAATATTAGATATGTATGTATGCCCACATACAGCTTCTACTGAATAAAAAACAACAACTGTACCATCCCCCCAAAAATAAAACCAGTAAACCTATGATATTTTTTAATACTGGTTTAATAAGATTAGATGTCACGCAGGGGATGTTAATGAAGACATAAAAACGTGCACAAAAAGCAAAACCCTAGAACAATACAGACAATAAGATTTTGATTAAAGACCATTTTAACAAGCATCAAAGTGGGAGATTTAAGTGTGAGGGAACAGCCACTAAAAAGCAAATAATCTATACGAACACACCTGTCTACTCAGGTGGTCAGACAAAAATATTGGTTTAGCTGTCTGACTGACAGCATTGAAGCCTACCTGCTATAGTTACACCTGACTACACACGTTCAAGGTATGTGCACATCCAAACCTTCAGCTTGCAACACCTGTCACTCTACTGAATCTGCCCCCAATAAAACACCATAACTTTTATTACTTGATAAGATCAAAGCTGAAATTACTGACAATATTACTCACAAAACCAGTCAAAATAATAATAAAAAACCTTCCACAACAAAATTGGACTGAACACGTCTTTTGTCATATGCTGACCGAGTTGAACATACCGTCTTCATCAGGATCACCAAATGGGTTGAGGTGGTTGGGATGAAGGTCGTCATCAGGGTCATCAAAGGGATTTGTACCCATGGCAGGAGGCACTTCCTGATCCTCGTCTTCCAGGAAGTTCAGCTTGTTGATCAGCTCTGTTGCAACAGAGTGCAACACAAAGTCATCCACACGAAAAACAATGATATAGAAGACAACTAATGAGTCAAAAATAACAGCTACAAAACAACACATTTCCAAAATGAAATGAATTTAAACATTCACAAACCCAAATATACCAAATATCTGCACTTTGGAGTGAACCATCAGCATAAAGACCATTCAGTCTTGTATAACTAATCCCCTCTTGCTAGGGAGCGCTGTCTCAACTTCTCTGTGCTCCTCTGCCACCTCAGCTCCACTTCAATGCATGTACAGCAGTGGCATTCTGGGAAAATGTGCGTGGTATGGAGGTTCACTGTGGGAGACAGTGAAGGCAGTATAGAGTTGCTATGGAGATCCGAGCTGGAAAGGCTGAGAATTTTCCACTTCATCTTCATCACCCTCACTGTAGATTAGTCGCATGCTGCCAGGGTGTGGGTCAGTTTGAAAAGAGCGTAAATGTGTGTGAGGTAGATGCCAAGAAGTGCTGTGTGAGAGTCTGACCACAGAGAAAAAGTGCTGTGTGTATGAGAGTGCGGGTCCCGTGGTCTATATGTAGGGTGGCTATGTGAAGTGGTGGTAGCTGATAAGGGGTGCAGCACTTTTCCTCGCCTCTTATTGACAACATTCATGACACATTTTAGGCCATGCAAGGACACATGTGTATGGGCGTGTATTTACGTCTGTATGTGTGCCAGTGTGTAACATCGTTTGTGACTGTTCCCTGTCCAAGCAGAGGAGCTAGGAGGTGCAAGTAGAGTAACTTGAGAATCCAAGAAACAAAAATAAGCTCAGCTGTTTTCCAGTCACAGGTCAAATTGAAAACCTGTGTGTAAAATGTGAGGGGCCTAAATGAAGTTTTGGGTTTGTCAGGTTAGTTACAATATGTTAGTCATTTCACTAAGTTGTTACCCTTACTACTGACTGAACTAGCCAGCAAAAAACATGTAGTTTAGTCTTTGTGGCAAGACTGAAATCTTTAACACTTGGCCTTTTACAACACAGAGTTTGAGACTCCTACTATTATGCCGTTGTTACACTGTCTCAACAGTAATAATACCGCAGATCCAATACACAGTTGAATTGAAAAATAAAATGCTTGATTCAAATTGGAAAACAAAACAAAAAAACATTTGTGTTCCTGGGACAATGTTGTTTTTTGTAGGCAGTGTTTGTTTGGATACCATTTACCTGATTTGGTTCACTACCAATTGCAGTAAAAGAATTGGGAAGTCCACAAAGTCAAAAAAAAAACAAAAGGAACCAAAAGGATGAACACCAACTGATGTGTTCACAACACGTGTACAGCACATCACCACATGGACCAAGATAAACTGTAAGACCACATGATCACAACACGATCACAATACCAATGTAAAGGAGAATCGGGGGATGGGGGGTTTGAGCCAAGGAGTGAGAGAGAGGGGGGGGGGAGAGAAACAAAAAGACAGGAAAAGTGGAAAAGGGAGGATTAAGAAAAATAAATATATGAAGAGAAATTGTGGTAATAAATGGTAGTGTAGAATAGACAAAATGTTCACAAGACGATAAAAAAAGAGTCAGGAAGACAGGGTGAAAGGTGAAAGAAAGGTGAAAAAAGACCTTGGGAGGAAGCGGCAGGCTTAGCGGTTGCTTTGCGTGCTCGCTTAAGGACATCATCATCATCATCATCCCCATGTAAGCAGCTGAGGGCATTCAACTGGTTTACTATCTCTGTAAACGACAGGGCCATACAGGAAGGGAGGAAGGAAGAATAGCAGTGAACAAGGCAAAATAACACAACCCATGGAGAATATCCACACACACACACACTCTCAAAACTCCATTTAACAACACATATATATGCATTTAGAGTTAAAGAGTGCATATATTTCAGTGCAGACCTATTAAACTAGCAAGCTAGTTAGCTTGTAGGGTGGTACATGATTGAAGTGCTCTGTATCAATACACAACACTGATATTTGTGTACAGAAGGAACATACGTAAATGCTGTATTTCAAACTGCATGCTTTGGTTAACTGTGTAACAGCATTGCCAGAACGGCTAACCTGCTGCTGAAAAGCTGTGCTAACTTGATAGTGTGTACACACTAATGCTGAAAAGGCTGAAAGCACTAAGACTGAAATCTATCTTTACATTTACGTTGCATTTTTTTCCACAAGCAGGTTACCTTGGTAAGTAGCACCGCAGAACATCTGAACACACACAACTAACAAATACTTACATACTCAAATACACAACACTTACAGACAAGATATATATTCATGGAGATGTACAATATATCCCTTTTAGGTGTAATATATTCTCTTTTCATTATTTGCATACTGTATGTAAAAAGTAAAGAGAGCAGATATGTTTTGCAGGGTTTGCGTTGGTTAGCCTAGTGTTAGTATTGCTGGCTTTTTGGATAGGTAGCATCCAGGGAAGGAATATAATAGTGGGGATCTTTGGCAGCTTGGCCAGGCCTTTGATTCAGAGACCCACGCTAGTGAAGCATTTGCTGTAGGCGCTCAATGCATATACATACAAATGGGACAAAGAGCAGCGAAGGGAAAAGAAAGGAGAGAAAGCATGAAGCTTAACGTGACGAGATTGCGCTTTGAAAAGTTGGATTAAGCAAAGCAGAAAGCAGCAGGTCCCGTACATAGAATGAATCTTCACCATGTATGTATGGAAGGAGAAGAGCCACCATCAGTGGAGTAGTCCACCAAGAAGAAAGCAAGGAACAAAGGGGTAATGTGGATAGGGTAGAGTAAAGCCTAAGCAATGGAAGAAAACCTGAAGCTGACAAAATATTCAAATGAAAATCAAAAATTTAAAATGTTTTTTATGTTTGCAAGCATGCACACACACCCACACTCGCAGAAGCATAAACTTAGAAAAATAAAAACGAATGAAGCAAAGTTGATGCCCCACTGAAGCCTTGGTCCTGGTTATTCTGGTCGCGGGGATTATTCAGAAGGGTTGGAGATTGTATTCACCAAGTAGGCAGTTTGGGAAGATGGCAAAATGTATCAGGACATTTTGAGCATTTTACTGATCAAGTTGACTTGGCAAAATAGTGGTTATTGGCTGATTATATAGACAGACTTACCATTAACGGAGCTTTGACTGACACCACAGGAAAATGTATCACTGACAAGCATGGTTGCTGACCAATAGTAAGCATAATACTGTACTAATGTCTAATGGCAGATTCAGGCAAAACAGCAACCTGGCTGACTTTGATCAACTTCAGCTAGTTCATCTCTGATCTTGGAAAAACCATACATCTGTCACCGGTCAAAGAAAAGTGTTTTGTGCCAGTTTCACCTGTTATCTTGGCAGCCTTCTCCTCCTGGTTAACTCTGTTCTCCTCATCCTCCTCATTCTCCTCCTCAAAGTCGTCCAGGTTGCCAATGTCAGCCTGCTTCATGCTCATCAGGCTGGCCAGGCTTTGCATGTCCTCATCACTAAGCCATAAAATAAAAAAAAAACACACACAATTCACACACACCCAAAATAGATAGCTCATTTTCATAGGCAGAAAAAGCACTCAAAACACATACATATAATATGCTTATAATGATTTAAAAACCAAGACCAGTCCTGAAAGACTGAACCACACAGGGCTGTACATTTTTATGATGCTGAAAACATAATAAACAAAAGCAGAGAAAGACATAATGCAAAAAAAAAAGAAAATGCATCAGTGCTGTATTTTCAATGTGCCTGCAAGGAGATGAAGGAACACACACAATTCCACCCACAGCTCTCACCAACACAGCTGCCAACAGCTATATCATATGTAAGGATTATCATAGTTCTCCATCGTTCTTTCTGTCTCTACCTCTTTCACCACTCATTCATCTCTAACTTACTGTCATAATCACCTAAGACTTCCCTACTCAACCTCTTTTGGCCCTCCACGACTTTATTCACAGATGCATCAACTTCTACAGTATTCCCTGCATTTTATGTAGTCTTGTGTACTCCCTCTCAGTCCCTCGATACCACCGCTCCATCATAATCAGTGTATTCTCCTCTCTGTTCTTTGTGTTTGGTGTTTCCCAGGCCCAGAGGCTCATTTGAACTGGTGTGATTGAGTTTGTTTGTGTGGTTGACATCATTCCCCGAAGGGTTAACAAGGGTTACGCGCCAGCGACCCGCCGTCCACGCCACAACAAAGGCCTTGTTGCTCTGCTCTCGCTCAGTATGAGTGTGTGTGTGCCTGTCTTTAAATGAAAGTTGCTGCTATCAAATTAGAATGAATAACAAACGGCAAACACCGTGGTTGAGAGTGTATGTCCTCAAATGAAAGTTGGTGGCATCAAAGTGGAATATATGAGAATGAATGATAATGTGTGTGTCTGTAAATTAAACTTAGCACAATCACAAAATGCTAGACTGTAACAAATGTGTGTAGATTTTTGTGTACATACATTATGTGTTTATTCTTTTTGTTATAAGACATAAATAACCAGACAGACAGACAGTTTGAGGTGACTCGTACAGAGCTGACGACATCATGTCTGGTATAATTCTAAAAGATTTCTAATCAAAACTTCAATACTATAATTTTTAAAATGTCACTGTTTATAACTGACATTAGGCCTGCATCAACATCCTGAATCATTAACGGGCTGGCTGTGCTCCGAACCAAGCAGAGCGCAAGACGAGAGGAATGTCAAACTTTTTGAGTGAAGATGAAACCATATAATCGTCACTGTCTTGTTGCTGCTGTTTATTTTCCCCAGATCAGACGCAAAATGTTTAAAAATGCACTGTAGAATTATTTCCTTAGTGTATACTTGTATGTATATATGTATACAAATAACAGCATTTTTTTTATTTTATTTATTATATATTATGTTATTCCACTATAAATGTACTATTCTTTCTCTATGTGTGTATCATGAAGGGACTGCACATTTTCATTTTCCAATTTATTCAATGTACAACCTTCAGTTGTACATTGAATAAATTCCCTTGATCCGTGAAAAGGAGCTGAAAAAGCTGCATTTGTAACTATATCCCTGAATTCAGCCAAAAAACTCCCACCCAACATATTTTTAAAAGTTGTAAGGGTTGTACGGGGGATGGCAGCTACAACTATAAGACGGTTTCTGTTGCATCTGTGGGAGAGTGTCAGTAAATGGCCATAGTCATACTGTTTATTGCGATTAATGTTACAGTTTGTGTGTGTGTGTGTGTGTGTGTGTGCTGTGTGTGTGTGTGTGTGTATAAATATAGCACAGTTATTGATGGGCACATACAGTATGTTGTGTTTACTGGCACTGCGGAGGAATAATTCTCATTCAGCTGTTCTGTTATTTATACTTGGTGAACGTTAGCTGAACCAGACAGAAAAAGCAGTTTCTACAAACATGTTCTTGTTTGAAAGAAATCCGCTGTATTAACATCATCTGCCAACAAGAATCTATGTGATTGTGTGTACAGCATGAAACTAAATATTTACTGTGTAGTCCCGCTTTAATATCGAGGCTAACTTAATTACCTACTTAACGTGAGTTGTTATCTGAATTGCTGTAACAAAAAAAGAGCACATTCATGTGATAGGGCACATGGAAAACTCTTTCAAAACAGAGTAACTACATCAGCAAAGAGAAAGAGAACAAGCTAAAATAGACCCACACTGACTAAAGAACACTAAATGGCACAACAGAGTAGTGATCAAAGAAGTCCATTCCAGGAAGGTTTACACCTCAGAGAAGCAAACAAAAATGGAACGTAATTAGCTTCAACATATTTTGTTTTCCTTTGGCTATTTCACAAGAACAAGAATCTGAACCAGGATTCGTTAAGTACCCTAATTAATATGCAGGGTAGAAAGGTGAGAGAAGGGTAGAGAAGATGTAAACAATACTTCAACTGTGCTTAGTAGAGGTGTTACATGAGAAGACCAATACTTACGTGGCCTTTCCCTCACGGAGGAAAATGCAGGAGAGGGAGAACTGTAGGGTGGCCGACACCACTTTCTTCGACAGGGGCTTAAACTTGAGTTTGACATCCGTCTGTGTAGGCATTGGACTGGCGTACTGTTTCATATTTATACTGCTGGTGGCCAAGGCCTTCCTCCGCCCTGATGGAGACTCCTGGAGAGGGAGAGAAAGATGAAACACATTAAGGTGAAATCAGGCCCATATTACTTTACTTACTCCTCTGGGGATCAAGTATTTAAAGTTCAGTAAAGAGCAGAATGTACAATTAATTTTAATACAAGATACAGAAGGGGAAGCAGAATAATTCTTTCCATTATTACTAATGACAGGTGATTACAGCCTCCAGATAAATAATGGTGTATTTGGTCACCCTTAGTTTGTAAATCCCAAACAAGCTCAAATTTGTTCCCTCCTGCGTTCCTCATTGTGAATTCGGTTGTGAAATCCTTCCTGGTATTTCCTATCAAAGGTCCATGCTGAAGCCATTTTTGCTGTACTTCTTTTCAGAGATGTGCTCTGGGCCAGGGGCTAGCAGTCAAATTGGAATTTGGGAATATGCCACAGACCAGGTGATAAGAGTTATAGAATCAGTGACAGGGGCCTCTGTGTGTGTGTGTGTGCTCCCGGCAAGGTTTTGAATTTTTTTCACCAACTGTCGTCCTGTGGTGGAGCGGCGCCCACAACCTTTCACACTCTCACACCAACACACACCACACAACTCTCAACACACAACCAACACACCACCTCTCATCAAACAACAAA